CTTTACAAATTTTCATGAACCTAATTCCTCTTTAGGACCCTGTGGTGTAACCAACATGTTAATGTTCTGAGCAGTAGTTTTTTTAGAAAGAAAAAAGGCAAAGCAAGCCTGTATGTCCTTAAGGCAAAGAACAGTGCCTCTCTGACAAAGGCTGAGTGTACTGCATTTCCTGGAACCTGCACAGTAATCCCTTTCTGGAAGCAGAGGATGGAGTTTGATAAAGCATTCTGATTACACCTTGTATGTTTTCTGATGGCTGTATCATTTAAAAAATATTTCCTTGGTTTTTTTGTGTAAAGCACTGAACACGCATAGGTTAAAGCTTTTCTTTGATGCCTGTATTACAGTGTTGCATGCTGTATGCTTAGCTCTGTAAGCCATGCACTTACCTGGAGGACTTCTCTGGGGCTAGAATTTTTTTGGGTTTTTTTAATGTTTTGAAATTCATGCAGAGTTTTTTGCACTTGACAGGTGGCAAGGATTGTAGAAGTTTCTGACGAGATGAGGAGGAATATGGGAGGGAACTCTGGTCTTGAACTGATCACTTTGCCTTACGGACACCAGCTGCGCCTTGACCTGATTGAGAGGTAAATGTGCCTGTTCCTCACTGCCAGGGCAGATGACCAGAAGCTCAAAGCATGGCTGCACTGTCCTCATTTCCTTCAAGAATGCTCTCCTGCGTGTCCTGAATTCACATGTACAGATTATTTACTGGGATGGTATGTACACTCATTTTGATTAGGAAAGGATTCCTTAAGGTCGTAAGGTAACTGTCCCAGGTAGTACAGGGAAAGGGGAAAGGTGTTGAAAGTAGGAACAGCTGAATACCATCAGCTCTCCTTTACAAGCTCAAGGAAACTAAAATTCAGGGAACCTATAATCTATCTGAGCATGTATGTCTGTGGAGGAGACTGAAAGGTAGTATCCTTCTGCATGTGGCAGGAGGCTAGAGGAAGGATCTAATAAAGTAAAAAATTATTAACAAAGATTTCTGAAAAACCTCTGCATGAGTTAAGGGGGAACACTTAGGGTGTTCAGATCTAAGTTTTCTGCTTCATACTTTAGTAGTTTGATTGCTAAGGTACTGGGGGTGGGGGTCACAGGATTTGAATGTGGAGGACAAAGGGAATTGGGCCAATTTTCCCAGAAGTGTTCATTCATTCAGTGCTTCAGCAGAATTTCGTAGTTAGTAGCATCTCAGGAGAATTTATTAAAACATTAATTTAAAGCCTGTGTGTATTTATTCCATGTGTCATTGGTTTTGGTGCAAAGCTGTTGGTAAAACTAAGTTTGCTGGGCATGCCAAGATTAAAATTGACCTTTGAACTGATCTTTGAACAGATGTAAATTTGATGATTTGTAGTTGGTCACATGAATTGTTTCACTTACAGGCACAATACCATGGCAATAGGAATAGCTGTTGACATCTTGGGTTGCACAGGAAATGTAGAAGATCGAGCAGCAACATTAAACAGGATCATCCAAGTTGCTGTGGAGTTGAAGGAGTCACTAGGGGATTTATATGGATTTTCTGCCATTATGAAAGCACTGGAAATGCCACAGGTAAAAATCTGTTTCTCTTTATGTTCCAAAATAGGGAGTTGTTTGATGGCTTATTTAATTTAATTTGAGCAATTTCTTCAAGACTAGAGAGAACTTCAGAATAGTCTTCATGACTATTCTATGACTGTGAGTAGCAGTGTACTTTTCCTGCTTGGACCAATAATGGGTATTCTCTGTTTTGCATGAACAGGTCAGTAGACTAGAACAAACCTGGACGGCTCTAAGACACTGTTATACCCAGACTGCCATTATGTATGAAAAACAGCTGAAACCATCGTGCAAAGCTTTGCATGAAGGACAAGATGACTGGACTAGTGAGTACGAGTGACACGGATTTCTATTTGCCATGTTAACCCTCTCCTTACTGATTTCCTGTAATCAGCCTGGGGAGATGAGGCAGCTGCTCTTTCCATTGCTGTGCATTGTACCTTAAAATTATGTAAACTTGTATAATGCCATATGATTATGAACAAAACCAAAGAGTGTGCCAGCCAAACATCAGTATGTGTTTGTGTTCCTGTACCCCTGCAGAATATAACGTTCTTCCCACACCTCTGCTTCCTCTGTGTCGAGCATAAAATGACACATTGCATCATCCTGCCAAAAAAACTAGGGAATAAAATCTCTCTCCTCTGGCAGATTTTACTTCCTATTTGCTTTGTCTATTAGATCAGAGGATGAATCTTCAAATAAAAAGAATGGGTTAGGTAATTCTGGCCAGATTAGGTGCCCCTGTGCCAGATTCACTGTAGCTCTAGTTTCTAGAGGGATGCATGGCAGAGAAAATAATTTCTCCAAGTGAACAGGTAGACAGTGAAAACTTTTTAGCTGCCTGGATATGTTTTACTGAAATAACCAATTTTGAAAATGTTGAAAATCTATGCCTCTAGTGTCCAGTAATTCAGCAGAATTCCCTCTCTAGCAAATGAAGCTTTCCAACGCCAATTGGTGTTGGTCTTCTTCTCCAACCAGTTCACTGGAACTTGGTATGACAGGTATATTTAAGGTAAGGTTTTTGAAGGCTATTTGTCCTCCATCTGAAAGATGGAAGACAGATAGTAGTTTCCAACTTAAAACAGGACACCACAGTTACAGTACCTTTTCCAGTTACCAGTAATGTCTGATGATATGCGATGTATGGTTTTACTCCATTCCAGAAACTCTCAGTGCTCCACAGAACAACATAACAGTGCCACTGCTGATGCCTCTTGTTACCTTGATGGAGCGCCAAGCTGTTGTGTTTGAAGGCATGGAGCTGTGGGAAAGCAGTGACCAAAGTGGTGAAATAATGCTCAGGCACCTGGGCACAGCTCGCCTGATCGCGGAGCACGCCGAGACCTTCCGCCTGACGGCCGAGCAGCTGCTGCAAGGTAGGGGAACTGCTGCATTGCCACTCAGCTGGGGCTGGTGCCTGCCCACGTGCTCTGCATGTCAGAGAGAGAAATTCTTCTCCTCTTTGGCAGGAGCTGAAAGAGCAGTAGATGTCCTGCAGGAAATTCAGTCTGAGGACAGCATTAATATTGTTTAAAAGCAGACAGTAAATTGTCATCACTACAGCTCTCCAGCAAGCATTTTTGCTAAACATACTCAAAATTCTCATGGCTCAATATGCTGACCCTTCTGGCAACTGAACAGCAGTACAGTACAGACTGAGGATAACTTCCCTGTCTTCTGTACAAAATAAAATTCCTACTCTGTATCAGAGTCTTTACAACAATCCAAGTTGCAGCACTGAGTTTGTGACCACTTACAGCCAGAAAGCAGCAGCATGTTAACAATGTGATTTTATTGTTCAAACTTGCAGTGGAAAAGTTAAGGGAGTGGGGAGAAACACAGTAATTTCTGCAGGCAGCATGTATACATCAGTAATTGTATTTAAGATCTGACTATAATGACAATTCTTGACATTAGAACTGATCAAGACTAACCTATCCCAGTGTCCTTAAAGCCATCAGTGTTATTAGAATGTCAAAGCTGGAAAGGTTTTTTCACTTTTTTATGAGCTTGTTAAAATCACTGTACAAACAAGAACCCAGTGCACTTCACCTTATTTGGAGAGAAGACAGTTTAAATGCCATTTCTACAGAACAAAAAATTTGCCTGGTGGTGATACTGTGGGATTCTTTTTACCTACTAGGTTTCCAGCCAGACGAAGAGCTGAGTGAAATCTTCAAGACAGAATTTCAAATGAGATTGCTCTGGGGCAGCAAAGGAGCACAAGTTAATCAGAGTGAAAGATACGAGAAATTCAACCGGATCTTAACTGCACTTTCCCGAAAACTGGAACCTCCTCCAGTGAAGCTGGTGGAACAATTAAGTATATAAGACTCTGGAAACACTGTTAAGTGATATACTTGAAATAACCTTAGCATTCTTCTGGCAATTTGATACTGCACAAACTTCTTGCATTTCACAAGATGTTTAGAACTTTTAACTGCACAATGCACACTTGTTTTAAAACTACTGATTTCTAAACAAATTATTTATTTACTGTGTCACTGAGTCATTTACTGACACCTCTAAACAGTTAGGTTATCCCTTTATTTCCCCCAAGTTGCAATGTTTTAATGATGCCAAGGAGTAAGGGCATTGGCATCTTAATATTAAGATGAAGCAAATAATGTAAATAAAATGATAGAGTAATTATCTGACAGGGCAGGAAATTTGTTGTATAATATTCCTTTAATGAATATAAAAAACACTGTAGATGGAATTGTGAAGTGTATCTTTATGGAAGATAATTTGCATATTTACAAATGACAGAAACACTGCAAGTTGCAGTAACGATCCTTTATCTATAACTAGAAAGCTCAGACATCACTGTGCCTATGAAAGCAGTCTGTGTGTCGGGACAACTTCCCCTTTTTTTTAAGGCAGCCTCTGTAGTACTTCAGCTTTTGCTGGGGCCTGCACAACAGCTATGCTGCCAGGAATGAATGATGAAATGGCAAGAACAAACAATCAAGATAATTAAAATGCTTTCAGACATGAGTAAATGTGGGTGTATGTGTTAAACTTGCTTCATTTACTGAGGTGAATCACTTTGGTAAGTACTTTTTCCTTGGATGAAGACAAAGCATAAGGTGTTACCACTTTTTTACAGGAAATCAGCATGCACACAGCTCATTATACAAAGAGTCTTAGCAGCAAATCCCACATTGTTATATACAGAACTGGTGGCAGGGTTGTCCTGAGATGTTGTACAACTATTTAAGTCAGGGCTGCATGTGCTTGTTGTCAGTAAGCCTGTTTCTGGAGTGAGATGTTATTACTCAGAGTAGTGGAGTACTGGAGTAGGATGACAACAAAGCCAACACCAGATCTGTTCCTCCTAGCTACAATCACAGCAGAGGATTTTACCTCCAGAACAAGACTTTACAGACCTCATACTGAACATGGGCCTGTCAATCTTAACAGAAGACAAATGGGGAAGCTAATTACTTAGACCATGAAAAGATTTTTTTATTCCATGAAAATATTCTCAACAGAGAACACTATTTTTAAACAAAGCATTTAACATTTAGGAAATCAACATGTGCACAAAAAAGGATTAAAAAATTACTGGAAAATGTTTGATTCTTTAAGACAACTCACGTTCAGAATTTTAGAGTAAGTGATTTATAAGCTGTGCAAGTACAAATGCTTTTTCCTATGTTTAATAACCCTCATACAAGTTGCACTATCCCTCTTGAAAGCAACCTGCCTCCAAAGGAAGCAAATCCTGGTTTCAGAAAAACAAACAGTAGTGTGAAAAGAACATTTAGTCTTTTACCAGGAAGTGTTATTACTGACCTCCGAGGCTGTTAGCCAGGCAGACCACAGGCCCTCAACCAGAAAATACACAGATCACATTTCTTCCTCTTCACAGAATTACAGAATCACAGAATATTCTGGGTTGGAAGGGACCCACAAGGATCACTGAGTTTTCTCCAAAATAAAAAAGTACTAAATTTTTAAAAAAGAAAAAAAAAAAAGAAAAGAAAAAAATCCCAATCCCAACACCCCCCCCAAAAAGCCCAAACCCAAAAAAACTACCTAAGTAGTTTTGTCAGTATTGAGTAATGTCACATTATTATATAAATAACCCTGTATACAAGCTCCAAAAATCTAAACTTTAGAGTTTAATAGGCCCCATAATACACTAGGTCAAGCTGTGTAATAGTGGTATACATAACAAAGGAATAAACCTCTACACAAGTCACTCAAATTCAGTTTTACTGGTAGTACAGTTCCTACTAACACTGAAATGAAAAAGAATCCAGCACTGCTGCATCCACATATTGCTTCAGACCCCAGAAAAACAGGATGTTTTAATTATTATTCCATCATACACTGCCAAACAGCAGGTGGCTGGGTTGACAAGCTTGTGTTGATGTAAGTGTCCCTCCCCCCCAACATTTCTAGTCTAAGTCTTATCACCCTAATCAATCATATATGATGTACTTATTAATAGAACCACAAATGGGAGGCAAGACAACATAAGCAATAGGGGCACTGCAGACAACTATATTTACACGTATAAACATATCCAAATTTCAATTGTTTACAAGTAAAAGTGCACAAAGATCATTACGAAGTATCACTCAAATGTCACCTGGTCCATACAATGAAGCATCACCTGGAAATGGACTAGCACTGCAGTAATTGAAATTGGAACGTCATAGTGAAAAACTAAAAGACAGTTTCCATAAAAATCTTTTAAAAAAATATTAAAGTCAAATGAAGAGATACACATTTCAATGTATAAAAGTCATGGATGCACCATGTATCCAGTAAAGTAGAGCTCTAGAAAACACCTACCGTGGCTACCTCAGCAGCTGCAGCACTGTGGAAAGAGCTGAGACTCAAAGCCCTTTGTGGGATACTGTAAGTGGTAGTGTTGGCAAACAACAGATTTAGGCACTCTAGTTTAAGGCAGCAGTTGAATGGCAAGTGGTTGACTTCTGAAAACAGTCATTAACTTGCAGTGGTGAATCCTCTGGTTGTGCTCCAGGCTGTCAGTGCTCACAACAGGTTACTGAAGGGCTGAAGGTGGACCACAGTTCTAGAAGTTTCTCTTGATTGCATTGTAGGCTAGAGCTGAGATGCATTATTTCCCCAAATTAACAAAATACCTTACAGTCGCTTATCAGTTATGCCAAACATCTGGAATGTAATGATGGTTGCAGTGGTATTGTTATAGCAGCATACATGGATACTGGGATGAAACTCTAGTGCTGAAGATATTTAAAGAAAATGATTTGTTACAAAACAAGATGAGCAATGATGGCGAAGTGTTACACAGAACATGCCTGAGTGTCCTAGGCATGCAGGAGGAGGTTAACGGCGAGCATGGAGGTGGCACAGGCAGACTGATAACTGACACAGGGCTCTAAATGACTGCCAATAAAAGTGACTTGGAAATGAGTATCATTGAGAAAATCAAAACGTAGCACAAGCTAAAATATAGTTTGTGCACCTAGGACAACCTAGGACAATGAAAACAAAGCAATTTTAGGAGCAGTAGCCTTTTTACTCTGGTAATGGAACTCTATTTTCCTGCACAAATTGAAGATTTTGTAATACATCCTTACCTATATATGGAGATGCTAAGATGTTAGTGACTACTAAATGTATGTCTGCATGCATTCATGCAACTAGCTTGTCCCTTGGGCCTCCCAGTCTAGCACCCCTCCCCTCCCCACCCCCACCCCCCCAGCAGCTGCATGTAACCTCCTTCAAGATCTCGCCCATTTTCTCAGAAACCCGCTTCAGGAACCTGCAGTCCAAGAGGAAAAAGAAAAGAACAAAGTTACTGAAGGCCTTTAGAAGACAGAGAAGCGTGCTCAGTTCTAACAGGCCATTCTCAGTGGCTGTAAGTTAGCCTTCTACTTAATTCCACAAACTCTCATTAGAAATACAAAATAAGCTTTTTTTTTCCCAGTAATCAAGTTGTGCAATGCAGTTTCCAATCCTCAGTGATTTAACAATGAGGAGAATTCCTGTACATTTAAGACAATGTCTTCAGACTAAACACAATACAATTCAAAGACTTAGTTAACACACACAGATTAAGAATATAAAATCATTCCCTTATCAGGAGCAGAGAGTTTCCATTAAGACATCAAGCATTACACGTGATCTTTTTTTGTTTGTTCAAGGTATCTAGAGTTAAAACAATGACATCATGTCACATACAGAACATTCTACGTTACAAGTACTGAAAAGGAAGGAGATAGGTCAGTGGACTTTCTGTCCTTCTTAATCATAATGTTTTTTCCTGAGTATTTTTGTTGAACTTTCAGAATCAGAAAACATTTTCCTGTTTAAGAAGTGAAAGCTGCCAAGTATTTGCTAAGGAAGGAAATTAATAATTTTCAGTAACTGAGTTCAGTTAGTTATTAGAGGAAAAAGATCTCTGTTTTAAGAATATAGTTTAAGTCATAAAAGTGGGAACAGTAAATCTTAGAGATCTTTAAAACTTAAGTATTTTTTCAGTTTCTGTAAAAACTAAGAATTCCACAGAACAAGCAGGAATCTTTGTCTTTTTTAGTTCAATAGCTGAATTTGATTTAGTGCTTTATAAAGCAGGAAAGCAGAAGACACTGGTCAAAATTGCAGACCAATGTGAGATGCATAATTTAATGTGGTCATCTCTGAAAGGACTACAGCTAACTCCCCATGCAAACAACAGATCATTGCTGACTTCTGATTCTGTAATTCTTTCCATGAGCCTGTATAACTTACAATTTTTCCACTATTTTCCCTGGGGAATGTACAACTGAGAGCTGCCAGTTTTACTGTTAGATATATGTTACTGCACCTTTGCTGTTTTTCTCTAGCGTTACATCTATATATGATGTTGGCACATAGCCTTCCTCTCCATTATGTCTTCGAGCTCTTGTCCACCCATCTCCTTTGTCCTCCTCAATAATGTACAAAATTTCCCCTTCTTTCATTGCTAGGGTGCCTTCATTATGACCTGGGAAGAATAAGAGGCAAAGAAGTCTTACTGTTCAGACAGAATTTCAAGTCATCTTTTTCCCAAGGCATAGTTTCCAAATTATATATAAACAGGAAGCATGAAAAGTCTGTGCAAGAGAACATATGGCCACACAGACTTGGAAAAAAACCCACTACCAACTTGTAAAGCTGAATATTTTCCAATAGCTGTGCTAATATTTATCTTAAAACAGCACAAGTACTGCTCATGAATTAAAGTAATTTATAAAGTACCTTCACTGATCTTTAAAGCAATTAGTTACTCACACATGTAATTTGCTTTAAAGCATTTTACCTGTCTTCTTTATAACAAACCACTGAAGAATCTCAGAGCATGTGGTTAACTCACCATCAAACGGATAAATTGCCTTGCAGTGTCCTATAGCTGGTAATGGATCATCATCTTCAAACTCATCATCGAACTCACTGGGGTGAGCGTGCTGCTGTGGCGGGCCGCGCACCTCCTGGTTGGCATCGTCCGTGTAGCTGCCTTCAGGGCTGCAACGCAATCATGGGAGCATGAGGGCTCTGAGGAGCCCTTAGCTCCAAACTCGCAACACCCGTGCACCACAGAAAGGACAGGTCGTGGATATTGTTTTGGAATTCCTGTTAGCAGTTTTTATATTACTGTCAGAGGAGATTTACTGAAAAAAACTCTAGCAAAGGCTTAGACTGAACTCTGCTTGAGAAACAAACATAAATTTCACATACCTGTTTCCACAGAACATGGAAAACTAGTGAGCCTTATGCAGTGGAATAAGACAGGTTTAGAAGGTACTGCTATTTAATGAGCAGGTGTTTCAATTAGACTGTTTTTATATGTTACCAGAATGGCAGGAAGAGACCTTTAGAAGTCAGAACCAGTTAAGATTTTCCTTTAGAAGGAAAGGAAAATCATCCACTCGGGGAGGATAAGTAACACCCATCACTCCTGTAATCTAAAGGGAGCTGTAGAGGATGTAAAGCAGTAGAGACAGAGCAGTGACCTCTCTCGGCCCTGGGTGACAAGGTGGTTGATGTCGCTGCTGTGCCGCCTGTCGCTTCTGGCGACTTTACCTTCAACTTCAGACAGCCAGGCCTTGGGGAAAAAAGGCAAATATTGGTGTCAAAGAAAAACTGATTCTAAACCAGCATATCTAACAAATGCACTGAACTGCAGCTCACAGAGACTGCGGTCAGATGTCAAGTCTCAATTACTTCACACAAAGCATGAACCTATCATTAATGCTTAGCCTATGCTCCATACTAGCCTAAGGACAAAATCTTTAATTACATGTGAATTTCAGAATAAGTGAATAATAATATATTCTTCTGAACAGTTTACATCTTTAATAATGTACACCTTAATTCTGGCTACATGAACATACTTGAAAATACAGCACCCCACAAAAAATTGTATCAGGATGTCTACTCTTCAATCAAGTAGTTTTTCTGGGTGCTATATTTAAAATCTGTAAGGAGAAGTACAAGTGTACCAATCATTTACATTTTCTAAGAAAGTGTTTTAGAATCTAACCTCATTCTTGTGTATTTCCATCCGAAGACGGTCCATATTGCTCATAGTCTCAGTTAATTTTGGTTGCAAACTGCTTGGATCGCCCATCTGTGGATTCTTTTCATAAACATCCTTCATCTTGATGAGGGCATCTCTAAAAACATACAAACCATTACAATAATTAATATACCAGTATTGATTTATTAAAGCTAAAATAATGTGTATGAGATCCTGAAATGTGATTGGGCATCAATCACAGCAATGAGGAACTGCTGGTCTTCACACCATGCCTAAATCCTTCTCCCATTCTGTCATCTTCGCCTTCTGCTTCCCTTCCTTGTGCTGTGCACAGGCAAACAAGGACTCCAGCTGTTGACTCTTACCTGTCCAGTACTGTTTCCATACTGTTTGTTATATACAATTTCCTAAATACTGGTCATGTTCTGTTCTTAAAGCACGAAGCTGCAGCTGTCTTGCTCAACTGACACCCACATCCTTTAACCCACCATTTTAGAACCAATGCTCCCTATGCAGTATTAGAATCAAAATGAGTATTACAGTAAAGCAGAAGGAAGCAATATAACAGAACCTACATACAACAAACTATGAACTTAAAAAGGTTTATTAATAGCCTGTCTCCTAACTTTTGAGCACTATTGGCTTAGGTAGAGGACATAAAAAAAAACCCCAAACAACAGAGAGAGAACCATGACAGAACCCCCAGAAAAATGCACTCACTTTTGGTCTGTTTCCTTCTGTAGCTCTCTGTTAAGTTCATCAATTCTCTGCTGCAGTTTCTTGCGCCTTTGTTCTGGAGGGAGGTGGCTGAAATCTTCTAGTGCAGGGCCCTGGAAGCAGAAATACCTTGAAGCAAGCCACCACATGCACAGGTCTGAGCAGCTGAACTGACATACCCACACATGGACAGTGTTCACTGGAAGCAAATGGACCTTCTTAAAAACTCTACTTGACAGACAGCTCTACAAAAGACTGCACAGAATAAATGCATGTTCTTGCTGCCAGAGTGTAGTCACTCAGTCAAGGTGCTTTTTGCCTTCTGTAGCAGTTGGCTCACAGAGGTAACTCAAAATTTCTAGACTTTATTTCTCTGAAGTCATGTACCTCCTCTTGCATCCACTGCACTTTAAGAAGATTAAGAAAGGGCAGAATAATTTGAGTCAGAACAAAAATCTAAGATGTGTATATAATAATTATATACATATATATAAATTGTTTCTTTCTCTGGACTGTGTCCTGTGGTCATTGGGATGGTATCAAAAGAAAAATACTGTATTTTGGATCTTTGCTCCAAAGTACTACTATAGTTCTCTTCCAGAACTTTAGCAGTCCTAAAAAACATATTAAAATTGACAAAGTTCTGATGGGAGTTTACCTCAAGTAAAACTGGTTCACAGAGCACAGAAAAAACCCTTGTAATTATCAAAATTATGACTTAATTTTTTTATTTTACTCAAAATTTGCTCAAATATTCAAAGTCACCATTTTTACAGGGAAAAAAAAAGCCCAAACAAAACAAACAGAAAACCAACAACCAAAAAACTTCAGGGAGGGAAAACAGCCTCTTACTTCCCAAACTTTAAAAAAAATCATAAACCAGCCAATTTAAGACCACCTACTGTTATGAACCCAAATGTGCAAACTTGATTACTTGATTGCAAAATTGTGCCAAGATTATAATAAGCAGGATAGAAGGGCCTGGGTATGAAATGCATGGGAAGAGATTTTTATGTATCTTGCAAGTTTGTTGTGAAGACTCTTCCCCTCAGGGTGCCAGACACTGACAGTGTTAAGGAAATACAGTGCATGTCTTACTCACCAAAGGTTTGGTTTGTTGGGGTTTTTTTGGGATCCCATTTGCCTAAGGAAGTTGGTTTTAATCCAAGAAACCCACTTGCCATTCCAGCAACCCTCAGTGGAGGCAAACCAAACTGGCCAGCATTTCTTTTGTCAATAAGAAAGTTTACAGAAACTTGACTGTGCAGATCTTGACACAAGCCTTAGGCTCAGATGCCAAGTTTTCAACACCCCTCCTCAAGATCCTCTCACCCCCTCAACTCTTCTGCACTTGTAAAATCAATCTCATTACTTTTTAGGAAGGGAATACAAGACATCATAAAAGAAGGAAAATCAAGATAGGATGTTTTCAAAATAAAACAAGTGTTTTCTTTCTGGAGGAAGAAGAATACACACTGTGTATAGTCTCAAAGTCCAGAGATGAAAAATGACATAAACAAACTTCCTATTCCCTTCAGAAAGTCTCCCAGGAAAATACTGTGAAGTGGAATATACTACAAAGAAACAAAAATACAATCATGTCCTCTCTATCATTCTTCCTTACAGGTTGGTTTAAACCAGAGTATCCTAAAAATGAATCAGAAGAACAGAGGTTTTGTTGTGAATTTTCACTGATTTACCCTGCAATACAATATTGATTAAGGCATGATTTTATTTAATGCAACAGCTTCCTGTATTTATAAGCATAAAGGTCCTCCCCTGCAAATTTTTCTTCCAAATTCAAAGGAGTATAGCATTCAGTATTTCTTCTTTACACAAATTTTATAGTCTTTTCATATACATATTTTATGCTGCTTAAACAATTTTCCTAACAAAGAAAAATCACCAAGTATTTCCATCATGACCAACTTGTGAATACTGGTCAACTCTCAAAGCCCAAAATTGCAGATTTAGTTGCAGCCAGACCACAAGTCTAATTGCCTTACATAAAGCATGGATGATTAAGAAGACTGTGCATATGAGTGGAAAACTGGAGATGTATTTCAGCACCTGACTTAAAGCAGTTATGATATGGAAACACTCTCAGAAGATTGTTTTCATGCTATCTTAGCAGAAGTACAGCAGACAGATCAGCACACGGGCTTACCATCTTCACCGACCACTGCACAGTTCATTTGAAAACAGAAAGAAACGGGAAATTATTTACATGCAATGACCAGTTACAAAAGTGACTAATGCCTAAAAATGGATTTTTAAAGTATCACTTAAGGACTGATGTTTTCAATTATAAAAAATACATTTTACTGTAAGCACAAGAAAATAATTGCTTTAAGAATTACTGATTAAAAAATATTAGGTGATAATGGGTACTTTTAGCTTACAAAATTTTAACATACAACTTCATTAAACTACTTTTGAATTTCAGTGTTCTGAATAAAGGGCTGAGCCTTCTGTTGTAGGAAAAGAAACACACACACAACCAACATTACACAAAATAGCAGAATTTGATGATGATGGACTGATCAGCCCTATACAAAAAATTTGTAAATGATGGCTCAAAATCTACTGCAATTCCTCTTATAAATATAGTTTTTGCAATGTCTTTAGTTTATTATCACAGCAGATCTAGAATAAACAAAGATATTTTTCAAGTCCAGAAGTAATTAATTTTACTTTCTGAAAATAGCAGTTGGGTCGTTGTTATCTAAAATTGTTTTCATCCAGATAAAAATAAAGATATTTAAAGAGTAAAGACTTTATCCTTAGAAGAAGCAAATAAAACATGGGTGCCAGGAGCTGAATCTTGGCTTTAACATTCACAGCATTTTGAAGATCTACCATGCTTTTAATAATTTGGACAACTCTTTCCAGACAAATACCAAGCAACTTAGAAGACAGATATCTCAACTTCACTTTTGACCCTGTGTCAAAACTATTTCCCGTGCCTGGGTTCCAACATCCCTGAGCAATTTTTAAGGCTGCTGCTTGGGGAACATACACAACATTAGGATTTTTAGCAATGAAGGAAGTAAAGCACCTTCACAAACGATACTCTGGTGGGAATCTTGAAGTCCAGAGATGCAAAATGACATAAACAAAGCTCCTGTTCACTTCCGAAAGAGTCTGCCAATAAAACTCTGTTAAGGTTCACAGATCACTGCTGATAATGTTTTATGTACCAAGTGGCATCAAGCACAGACCTCTCACAAGCACTAACACTGCTGGAATTGTTAACATTTCAGAGGAGAAGCAGCAGCAGGTACCAGCAGCACTAACACAGCAAGCTACACTGGCTTACACCTTCTGTCAGTAACCTACTCTACAGCTACTGCTCGCTGCTCTTGCTCTGGAGAATGACAGGAAAATGACAGGAAAATGCACTGCAGGCAGCACAGAGAGCAGGGACAGAGGGTTTGTGATCTCTGCACCTTGACTGAGATCTTGCACAGGGCCTGTTAAACAAAATGACCAGGATGCTCCACTGACTGATGGATGCCACCTCACAGATAAAGCTCAGCAGAAGCAAACTGAGCCCCATTTTACATGGGCAGACGGTCACGGGACAAAGGGGAACATTTTTTAACTGAAAGAAGATGGATTTAGATTGGATGTTAGGAAGAAATTCTATATTCAGATGGTGGTGAGGCAGTGGAACAGGCTGCTCAGAGCAGCTGTGGATGCCTCATCCCTGGCAGCTTCAAGGCCAGGCTGGATGGGGCTCTGAGCAGCCTGGTCTAGTGGAAGGGATCCCTGCTCATGGCAGGGGGTTGGAATGACACAATCTTTGAGATCCCTTCCAACCCAAACCTTTCTATGACTCTATGGTTTAGTAGTTCTGCACGTCAGTACCACTTGGAAACAATTTTCCAGGGACAAAACATGTGGGAAACAGTATCACATACTATTAGCATTTAATCATTGTATATTATAAAGATAAAACTCATCAATGAGATTAAAAAAAATCTATTACTAGTCCACTATACATTTAAGTTCAAAAGACTTTAAAAATATACAACAATGTGGTGTCTGTTAAAATGCTTGCAAGGAAATTCAGAATATATATAAATTAAAATACTCATTCTTGAAGATTTTACAGAGATTAAATCTTTAATATCATGGCACACTGGAGTGAGTCTAGATCTGTAGGACCTTAGTGATGCTTCCTAATGTTAAAGAATTATTAAATTTAAATTATTTAAAGAACATATTTAATTTTACAAGATGAAGAATGTATTTAAAAATCAATAAAGATATGGTTTCATTTTCCATTAGCACTCTCTAGTAGTTAGATGATCTTTCCCTTCAAAAGAGGTTCTAGAACTACTGGTAGTACAAGGGGATGATTTGTGAGGCTGGAGTTAATACTTTTAGTGATCAACAAAATCAAAGTGTAATCAAGGCCTGTGCCATTCCAACTCCCTCATGCAGGCAGCTCCTCAGCAGTACTGAAGAGGCACTGCCTTCCCAACCAAGCAAATTATGAGCTAATGACTCCGAAGGGACAGGAGATGCTGCCTGCCACACAGGCTGAGGGGAACACAGGTATTTTCTAAAAAATGGCACTGCTAAAGAGGCTCTTTCCAAGTATCTGGGGGCCTGAAATTAGATGCCACAACATGACCTAAAGAAAAATAAAGTTTTAACTGCAACTCATTCAGCTTCACAATGACAACAAGGGAGCCTCTAAACTGTAACTTTACTGCAAAAGAGCATTTTGTACCTTGATCTCCACATTATGTCAACAACAGTCAACCATTCTTGATGCACATGAGACAGCAAGTCAATATTGTCTTGAAATACCAAAAAATTATTAATTATATACAACCAGTGCATCCAATTACCTTTTTATTTGGACGAATAAATACCACTAACCAACATAAACTGGGCAGCCTGTGCTTTTCTGACATAACAGGAAAGTGCCAGTAAATTTATCACTAGCACCATAAATGTTGCTAGGAAACCATTTCATATTTCCCTTCTACTGGCTTCCAGAAAAATTCTATTTGCAGAATATGCCACTATATCAGTAAATTAATTGATAAGTCTCTGTGGCATTTGGTAGCAATTTTTTCAATAATTTTACCCAAAAGAAACTAGGACCAACAAGAGCAACTAATTAATCAGAAGACACATTAATGCTGCAATGTTTTTTAAAAAAATCAGTATTTCAAAATCTGCCATCACCATAAGCTATGGCATTTGATGCACAGAAGGAATTAAATTCTCCCTTTTTAGTTCAGTGTCTCGTAATCAACTTCTACTATTTTCAAAGTCAGCAAAAAAGACATCAGATGATTTTTGTGGTAACTGTATATCCAATGATTAATTACTGCAAAAATATGTTACATGATGGTAGGAAAACATTTGTGAATGTGAACAACAATGAAAAAAGGTATCAAACACATGCTGAGCACCCTCTTTATAACACCTTTTTTTAAGCATGAGCATTCCAAATGTTATAAAGAGTATTTCTATTTTAATTTCTTTTTGATCTGTTGGTAACTTATGTATAGTATGAAACAAAGTATCCTAAAGTGACCTTATGGCTGAAGTGTTACTTTTAACTAAATAAGCCTTATAATGAGGGTGAAGAGCATTAGAAAAGCCACATCACAAACACACTGCTCATAGCCCATCATGCATTTCAACTTGTTATCCAACTTACCCCTCTTTTGAGGCTTCTGAAAGAAGGAATTCTGGGCTTCCCTGTTTTTATGTCACTCATGCAATAATGCACTGGTTCAATGGAGAATATGGGATACTGGGACCCATTAGGAGTACTGGATGTGTATAAACTAGTAGGGGTTAGGGGTGGGGATTGTGGCTAATGTGGAAATAAAGAAAGCAATAAATAAGCCAAATGTTCAAAGTGATTTTAAAATGAAAATTCTGTCTTACAAAAATAAAATTTCCATCCAACACAGAAACAGGTTGTAACGTTTCAGACACATTTATACTATAACTGTATTGGGTTTAAAAGGTTTCTGTCATGAATTAATCCTCAGTTATAGGCTGCTGCAGAGAAGGAAGGAAGCTTTAGCCTCAACACTGCCACAAGATCCTAAAATGATCCCAAAGCTCCCTGTCTCTTTTCTTAAAATGGTTCTGCTATTGCCAATTTAGTTACAATCGTCCTGGAAGCTCAAGCATCCCTGCTCACTCCTTCCTCCTGATACTGAGGTACCCTAGCAGCTTAGCCAAACCAGAAATATTTGGTACATCTATGGAGAATGACTACAACAAAAAGAATTCTCAAACTCTGCAGTCAAGCTGGACTGACACAATGGCTGCATGGCATTCTTAACATCATCCCAAGAACCTCTTCCCCTTTTTTCAAATTGCTTCTCTCATTTTTTCTCTTATATCTCTGCAATTCCTTTCCAGTTAAATTTTCCTCTATTTCCACTGCCTTTTATGCCTCTGACAACATTAAAAATAGGTAAAGGAATACCTGAAAGTCAAGACCAGCCATAGTTCCTGCTAAATGAAGGTCCAAAGATCCCCATGAATACCCCAGCTGTAGTAAACCAGCGGATTTTATAATAAATTATTTTAAAATATATTTTAAAACCTGTGAATAGTATTTAGAATTAAATATGTATCTTTCAGTAAATATTCTGCTTCCAGCTGGTGTTTTGTAGAGCACTCCTCCATCCTCCCCAAAGCCAGGTGAAAATCAGGGACAAAATCTTTCATTTAGGTCCTTAGGGAAGAGATGCATGTAGTATGTACACACATGTCACACCTGTGGACAGGCTGACTCCCTGACTGCTACACACAGTGAGGGAACTGGGGAGAAGAAAGAGTAGGGCAAGTCTTGTCAGCTTATTTCAGCTGCCACCACACTAAGGGATTTCTTATAGCTACAGCAAATGCCAAGGTCCAGGCTGAAACCTGTGTACATTTCCATAACTCTCCAAACTCTCAGAAAGATGCCTTGTGGTCAAACTGGCAATTGTGATGTAATTTCAGAACAGGCTGAATCTCACCCACCTCTGCAGACAAATGCAATACATATGCCCATGTATTAATGCATGCTATGAATCACTAATTATTCTGCATGAAAAATAAGCAATCAGTTTTAACACACAGTTGGAATTACATAATATACTGTAAAGACCTACTTTCTCAGAACACTATCAACTGGAAAATAAATTCTACCATTAAGAAGCCCTAAGAATAGTTTCCTGTAATAAATGACAAAAACTGGCTTGGAGCATTAAAATAACCTCACAAAAATTTGTGGGAATCATTAAAACAGCTCACTGATATGCTCCAATATTAAATAAAGATAAAGCATAAAATTTAAGTATGTACATGCTCCATTCATTTATATAGCTAATGCATGTTGTGATAATCTTCTGTTGATCCATGAAGGCATCTTGCACAGAAAGTGTTAATTGTAACTCATAAGAAAACAAAGTAGTAATTTCAATGCTTTCAATTTTTTTCTTGAGCATAGGAATATTTTCACCCTATTTCCTAGTAATATTTCTTCTAGGACATTTACCACAGTATGTTTTACCAGTGACAGATTATAAACTTTAATGTTTTCAGAGAAACCTCAGGAGTTTTCAAAACTTGCAACAGGTGTAATAAAAATCTACACAGCAGTTCTACATAAAAATGTGACATTTAGAAGGGGGCTGCTTTTTGTACCATAACAGACAGATCTGAAGTCTGCCCAGTTCCAAAGCATACTCTCCCCTCTCCTTATTTTTACATTCACAATTAACACCTTTCCTATGCAACTACAGAAAGTCTTTACAGAATCTTAGAAACATTACAGTAATGGGAAGCTACTTTCATTTTAATTTTCATTTTCCAAATAGTAATTTCTTAATTGTTACCTTTGGTTTCTTTCCAAACAGCCACAGCTTTCCTTTAGCCTTGCCGACTGTAGTTTTTGTATCAATTCTCATTCCCTCCTGCTTTGGTGTACTGATGGTTCCATCAGAGATAGTTCTGTAAATATTCTGACTGTAGTCTTCAAATGGAAAATCTCCAGGAGGCTCAAAACCAGATTTGAAGCAGTCTATCACTAGTTGAGAGTCCTAAACACAGGACATTAAGGAGTTTAAAAAGCAAACCCATCAAGAACCAGAGAGAAAAAAATGGAAACAAATTTTTCATATAATTGCAGAGGTGCACCACAAGTACGAGTGAGCACTTCTGGACAGAGCAAGTTAAGATAACAACATTCTTTTGTCTCAGCAGTGCTCATGAGTGTATAGCAAAGCATACTCAGCTATTCAGAATATTCCAGCAAACACTTCCCAAGGGTTACCACAAAATTAAAACAGGACCAAACTACTTTCCACCTTTTAATCTTTCGACATTGGCACTGAAATGAAGACAGAACTAAGAAACTAGATGTAGCAAGATAAAATAGCACAGAACCTGCTGCAGTCAAGCAGGACACAGAATGAATACTTTGTTAACTGAACACCCTCTGTATGTTTTAATGTCACATGCAGAGGAAAATACTGACCATTGTATTGCAGGATATTTTAGGATAATCAAAATAATGTGTCCAAAATCACACCCAATGAAAGTGTGTCAAAGATATTCAGATTACACTAAATCAAAAAGAGAAAGAGAACACACAACAAAAGCAGAAGTGGTCCCTTCTGCTGAAATTGAAGTCACAACACTTTTGAAACAAATATTTGACAACAGAAAGGTAACTGTACAGGGTAAGTCAGTCCTTCCCCTCTTCACAGCTTTTGTAGCAGTTCAACTGCTCACACACATTTAAAAAGTTCCTCCATTCTACTTACTCTGTGTTCATCAACTGACTTTGCTGCAAGGATCATCCCTTCCAAGCATTTTGAGATAATTGGAATAACCTTGCGCTCGGAGTCAGCAAAGCCTTTGTAACATTCACTAAGCTTGATAGTCCTTCTTTCATCCATTTCTTGAAGTTGCTGCAAGTGCAAAGAAAGATAAAAAAAAGCTTTCATTTGATGATTTTTTCCTCCTTGATCCTGACATATGCAGTTACTGTGGTCACCACAGTGTGGGACAGAATTTCTATGCTTTCTCATAATTTTTATTTGGTTAAAAAACCACAACTTACAAGTCCTTTCAGACACAGTCTGACGCAGTTGCAGTACAACAGTTACGAAGACTTCTCTTCATAACTTCATAAGAGCATCAATCAATGCTCTTTGATTTCTAAAAACCATGTAATGGATTTTAGAAATCAAAAATGAAAACCACAGTAAAGAAATTTTACTGATTTCTACATCTCCTCACTCTCTCCTTCTAGTTCCAAGTAATTCCTCTCTAGTGATAAATATACCCATGTTGCTTTTATTATCGTATTTTCCAAGCAATACCCATTATTTAAAATATAGGAAAAATAAGAAAAATTAAAATTATCTGCAGTTTAGACACTCTGATTTGAAATACAAACCATTTCCTTTAGCAGTGTGCAAGAAAATAAAGAGAAGAATACCATTACATAAGATTTGCAATCAAAGTTTACTGGAACAGAACAAAAAAGAATAAATTCAAGAGAAATACCATTAAGACAACAGCTCTGGGCTTTTCACCTGATTGTGGAAAACACCCCAAACAAAACCAAAAATCAGTAAAACATATACCAATAGGTTGTCAAAAATTGGGTAAGATGTTGGATCTTTCCTATATCTACAGAGGCAGATGTTCAAATAATATTCAATTTCGTCTCTCCAAGACAAAACAACCACCTAGATGTGCTAAACCCTTCTCCAAGGTTTTCCCATAGAATGTCACCAAACACTTGCAATGAAGTAATAAAAGTGTAGTCTCAAGAGAAAACAGGACTGGGCCTTTCTGCTCTTACTGTAGAGCTCAAAAATACGAGTAATATCTTTGATAATGGATTTTAACCCTGGAGAAATAAAGGCAGTAAAGCAAAAGTCTGCTGTAAGCTACAAAGATGATCAACCTGTTTCTCCTGGGAGCTGACTGCAGTTCTTGGATCAGTGTGTGAAGTCAGACCTACTGTGGTGCTGCTTAACAGTTAAAATATTAGAAAATGCTTTAATAAGCCAAGGTAATTTTCTCCTGTGAATCCCAGAACACCCAGTAAGGATTTTAAAAAAACAAAAAAAACCCAAACTGACCTGTGTTGCTGGAAAATATCAAGCATATTTAAGTTGAATACCTTCAAATAAACCCAGTGTTTCACCTTCCATTTCCTCACTCCCTGTCTCAGTATCAGCTCCCACCCATCTTTCCCAAGTGGTTGAAGGTACATGCCAACACACTTCTGAACTCTCCTCACCTGATGCCCCCAACTATTTTTAACTGGTTTTCCAGTTCTGCAAAGTCCATATTTTTGAAAGAATGTTAAAAAAAATATTATTAGTTACATAAAGCATCTCAAGAAATCCCCACTTTAGATGCAAAGTATTAATCTTTACTTTTTTACTTGGTTTAGAGAGATCTGTGGATTGCTGGTAACACTGATGGAGCAAAAACTAACTGGGGGCTGGGAGGGTGTTGGAACTTCTGCTTCCAATGCAGACTTTTTAATCCACACAGGAGATCCATGAAACCACAGCCACCGTCACCTCAGCACAGGCACAGCACTCACACACACAGGGATCCTGAGAGCTACTGATCAACCTTATCAGAATGATTGTTTTAAATGTCTTCTGCCACCCAGACCTCTCAAGTGTTTATTGTGCCAGACCCTTTCAGGAATACTTAAACAGTCTACAAAGTATAAAGTCTTAGACAAAATGCAACCAAGCATTTTCATCAGAAATCTAAGCATTAGTATGGTAAGCAGTCTCATGAAAAAAACACAAGTTGTCTCAAGATTATGGTAATTTTTTGATTAAATGATCCACTAACATCCAAAAAAACAGATTTTTTAATTTTAAAGTCTACTTCTTCTTTAGAAAAGTATTAGACATACTTTATCTGTTAATTATTTTACCTTGTAAATCTGAGGAATGACGATGTAGTAGTGTTTGTGCTGTTCCCCATTAAAATTCTGTAGTTGTGCAGCATATTCATTTTTGTTTTCATCAGCCATGTGTGTGCGCAGGTTTAACTGTTGCTTAGCCTAGTAGGAAAGTGTTACCAGGTTAAATGTCTTGTACTTTTCAATGACACACAGCATTATTTTATTTTATCAACTGTGCAAGAACAGTAGTCACAAGTCAAAACCAACATCCTTATAACTGAAATATAAAGAATGTGAGACTTGGCATATACTGAAGCTCCAAAACTTCATTTGTTACACACAGAGAAAGCAATGATCACTGTAGCTCCCTTAACCAGACTGCTTAAATGTGTATCCTAACACCCACAGAAGTGACTGATCCTCTAAACCCCGAGGTACCAAAGAGCAGACAGCTGCCAGTTAAAGGAACACAGCACAGCCATCCAGAGCTCTCATCAGCTTTAACAAGGCCAAGTGCCAGGTCCTGCATGTGAGCTGGAGCGATCCCAAGCAGTAACACAGGCTGGGAGAGAATGGGTTGAGAGCAGCCCTGAGGAGAAGGACCTGGGGGCCCTGGCAATGGGCACTCACAGCCCACAAAGCCAACCCTGTCCTGGGCTGCACCAAAAGCAGCGTGGCCAGCAGGACAAGGGAGCTGGAGAGGGACCTTTCACAAGGGCAGGTAGTGACTGGGCAAGGGAATGATTTTAAACTCACAGAGGGCAGGTTTAGATTTGACATTAGGAAAAAAAATCTTCACTATGAGGTTGGTGAGGCACTGGAACAGATTGCCCAGAGCAGCTGTGGATTCCCCATCCCAGAGTTCAAGGCCAGGTTGGATGGGGCACTGAGCAGCCTGGTCTAGTGGAAGGGATCCCTGCCCATGGCAGGGGAGTCTTCAAGGTCCACTCCAACCCAAACCATTCTCATTCTGAAGCACATTCCTTTCATCTGCTGTCTTATCACATCACTGGAACTTTGATTTTGCACGTAACAAGTAAGCATTTTTTATCCACAATGTTACACATTCAATGAATATTGTTTCAGTACTGATGATTAACATGTAAATGAAATACAGCTGATAATAAAGTAAAGAAAAGCCACCACACCCTTACCTTCTCAACATCAGCCTTTGTTGCATTGGTGTCGTTGTCCAGTCGTTCATAGCTTTGCTGTGCCTTCTCTGCCTCTCTGCATTCTCTCTCAAATTTCTTTTTGCTCTACAAAAGGCACAAACTTAGTGCTTCAACAGCCACTACTCCCATTTGGTTTTGTATATTAATTCTGAATTCTAAACATCAAAGCTTCCATTTAAGTATCTTAAATTCACTAAGTCCCCTTTAAAGGGGCACACTGTTAGCACAGCAACTAGGTCAACTCCATTATTTTGAAGGCAGTGTGAAGGACGTATCTGCACTACAATCATCATCAGTATTCATGTCAAGTGGCACAGCTGTAGGTAGCACAGACAACAGTATTCAATATACTTGATGCTCTCCATATGTGGCTGTTGTCAAGACAACTGCTGCAGGAAAAATTGTTGCAGAAGTTCACATCTCTAGAGGGAAACTGCAACTGGGACTGTGAGCTCCTGCTTCACAGCAAAGTCAGGCAACTGAGGTTAGTGTGTCCCTTAAAGGCATCTAAATGTATTTAAAAGACTGACTTTGACACTCAGGTAAATATAAGGCACTGTATTGTTTGAGCTGAACTGTGGGAATTATCTTGGTGAAGAGGTAACATCTAAAACTACCACACCTGCTTCTATTCTGATCCTCTGATGAAGAATTAAACTCTTTGACATGATAGGGAAGCAAGACCCTGCTTATCTGGGACCACAACAACAAAACAAATTCACTTCTCCAATACTGCTTCACAATAATCTGAATCAAAGGTATAATAATTTTTTTAAGACAGACAACCAGAATATCAGAATGCATCTTGAACAGACTTGGTTGAATTTTATATTCTCTTATCTTTAAAAGCATTTGTTTCAAGAAAGTTTATAGTCTGTCCTAGAGACATTTACTTCCTGCATTTATCTGTTAAGCAGTAATTCTATCTCCTGAAAATACAATAGTCTATAGTGGTATTCTTGAATATACCTTGGAACAAGCCCTCAAGCTCAAGTAAAATTCAGTGATTTAAGATTTCATCTTCATAAAAATAAACTATCATTTTTAGTAGCCCAAGGAGAAGCAACCAAAGTCTGTACCCATGTTAAAACCAGATTTCTTTATGCTGGATAAAAGCCAAGGCTTCTCTCAAACATAAACACAGAAGCTGTTTACAGATTTTTTTAATCAGGGAACTACAAATACATTGAACTGTATTAGGTTACTAAATTACTTGGAGATTAGTAATATACCTAAGTATTAAATCTCAGCAAGATTAGAACAGATGAAAACAATTCCACTTACAGCCAGTATATCTTATTTAAGTTCAACAGGAATAAAATCCAAACACAAACTCACATTATCCATCTGTTTCCAGCACATGTCCAGATACTGCTGAGCCTTTCGCCCTTCCTGAAGATGCTAAAAACATCATAAATAAATTAAATTTGCCTATATTTTTAGTACTATTACCATTAATTAGTCCCTGCTCTAGTTGACAGCCTATGATGTGCAGTATCTTCCACAAGCCATACTCTTTGGAAGACATTACTTAACATGCAAGAACTAGATCACAGATACTGTGGTACACTGGCAAAAAAAAAGGCTACAAAAGCACTGTCTTCCCAAGATAATAACTTTTAGGTTTAATAACTACATTATGGTATATAACATTATATATTATAGAAAAACCTTAAATTTGTTTTAGAAATATATTACAAAACCTATGTATTGCCGTGTTCATAAAAATGGGTAAACAAATACATCAGTTCATTAAAAGACTTCAACTTGATATCCTAGTTTCACATTTAAAAGCACAGAAATTACCATTTTTCTCTCAGTTTTCAGATCATGAGAGTATCTCATCAATTCTCCATACACTCTGTGTCCCATTTCCTCTGCAACTACTTCTCGCTGTCCGGCATAGTCGTTCAACTCATTGAGGATATTAAAAAAGGCAATACACGAAGTAAACCTGACAGAAAGCACACACACACACAAAAGTTAGCTTTTTAAAATATACTTATTTTAGTATAGTCTGTACTCCTGATTAAATAAAAAAACACAGACATTTTACAATAAACCTTATCTTAATGCTAATTGAGTTAGAGTAGAAACACAAGCTGGGAAAGCCTATGTTAAGCCTAGCATGTACCATATGCTGCAATGTCTCTTCAAACATGTTTTACATGAACATGGGGTTTGTGGATGGAAAAGAAAGAAGAAGAATACTACCTGGCAAGCCCTGTAGTATAGTGGCATCTCCTAAGCTGCCCAGAGAGGGGCCTGAGCTGGGGAACGGATACATACGTCCCTAGGCTGGAGGCTGAGCTTGCTGCAGAGATGATGAGCTTGGTAGTGTCGAGGGTGGAGCATGCCAACCATGCCACTCCTATGCATGCCGATGGAGTCTACAGAACAAGTTTGCTATCAGCTCTGGAGACAGCTGCCTGTTTGCCTGCCCACCTCCTGGCTGGAAGTAAGGTGCCACTATGGCTGGCACTAAAAAGGGGGGAAGAGGAGGGGCAAAGGGTAGAAAGTGTGTGTGGAAGGGAAGAAAGGAAAAAAAAAACAGGCACCACATTAAAATATACATCTTTCTCTCTTAATTGTGGAATACTGCCATCTCCATAGGCTTGGCTTTTGGGAATTTCAAATGCCACTCTAGCACTGGAAAGCCTATTCCCTCAGGTCCAGGATCTTTACATCCCCTAAACAATCTAGAGGAAATCCTACTTTGAATTCTCAGGCACTCTGCACAGTATGTGCTCTGGCTGCAACCTGCAACTTGTCCACTTGTTTTATTTCCTAAGACTTACCCCTAAAGACAAAAAAGCACTGTGCTTTTTCAAGTAAATTTTTAAATGACTATGGAATGGACAGCAAAACAAGCACACTTTTGATAAATAAAGTTGTTTAGCACAAATTGTTCCTCCACCAGTAGACATCCACTTATTTTGTCTCCAGAGTCAAAGCAAATCAGCATTTTAAAAGCTCCTCTTGCCCATAACATGACAATTTGTGTACACTCATGTCTCACTATAGAGATGCATAGCTACATTTGTACTGCCATAAAAATGCACTGAAAATCTCAATTACTAAGCAAAAAACTAAAGTCTAAGGACACATACTTGCTTTTCTTTAAAAAACAGTACTAGTCTATACATAGTAAGCTAAACTTCTGCTTTCAAAATTTAAGTTACCTAAAAGACTGTTTTGGAAGGGAGCAAGTACAACCTGCCATGACTACTACATTAAAATACCAATACAAGTAAACATGCTTGAGAATTATAGCAGAACTATAGTAAGAAGCCAAGCACAATTCTCTTGTCATCACCAATTAAATACTTTATCTTAAAAAAAAATCCATAAAAGGACAGCATACACTGTTAGTTCTCACTTTTTACAAATAGAACTTGAAATGGACATTTTTACCTGGGCTCCTCATCTTTTGGTGAGCGTTTAGGACAGTACTTCTTAACCAGATTTCTATTAAAAAAGAACAAAAGAAGATCGTATTTTAGAATAGAAAACACAAACACATGAACACACAGAAAACAGCATGAACAAAGTATTTCTGCTTAATGTTCTATGAACAAGTCTATTCCCTCTGTCAACTTATAAGGGTCCTTTAGATAACACAAGGCTGAAATCTACAGTATTATCAAAGTTTTACACCACTCTGACCTAGAGCAATTTGCAAATATTTTAAAACTTCTACTGCAGTGACTAGACAGGAAATGAAGAGTTGGTTATTTAACATCCTTTTCGCACATGCAGAAGGCAGCAGCAGAGGAGGACAAGGCTAGTGCACAACCACTGTGTCACACAGACAGTGCACACTGTGCTGTGCCACGAGCACAGAGCTCCATTCCTCAAGGAAACTCTGAGCATAGATTCAGGTCAAAGATTTTAACCACAGTATTTCCAAATCTTTAAAAAGGACATGTCCAGAACAGGAGAGGAAACATGTCTTTTCAGAAAAGAGATTTTACACTTTGTCCTACCAACAGCACTGCAAATATCTAGATTTTTAGAAACCAAGGAAATCTCTAGAATCCACAGGATCAGCACTTAGCACAGTATCACAGTCCAATTTTTGAAAACATTTATATGAAATTACCTGCTTATCACAGAATGCAGGAAAAAAAAGGAATGGAGGAGTTAAGATTCTAGGAGAAAAAAATCTGGCATGCATGTTGTGTATTTTACCTCACTGTCTCTCTGTAACTTCAGTTGTTACAATTATGAACTACCTTACCATTAAAACAAAGGTGCTAATTCTACTTTCATCTAGAATACAATTGTACAATTTCTCAAATCCATTTACCTGGAAGTCATCTCTATGGTACAAAAGCCCATATAGTGGGATTATGTCCAGACACAAAGTACACATCAGAATATGAGCAGGGAGTTGGTGTGGAAATAGCAAACTTGGGTCTTTTGCCAGTTTCTATACCCTCTGAGACCACAACCAAAAAAACCCCACTATGATAAGAAAGCCAGGTGCTTTTTACATCAATATGTGCTAAGAAAGAGAATAAGCACTGACTTTTTAATAAAAAATTATCTACACATTTTATAGTAACCTGCTTATTGAAGTTCAAGTAAGCATCTCTTCTCTCTATCCCCAGAACCCACTGCCTATTGTAACATTCTACTTGGTAGGGATTAAATGCAGACATTTTAGGAAAATGTGTAAACAAAAAAGGAAAAAAAAAAAATTCACTAAGTAACTTTCCTGTGTTCCATTTTCCCTTACATTTTTGCTTTGTTCCTCAGTGCTTATTAATGAATAGGAAATTCCTAAAATTCATCTTATTTTTATTCAGAAGGTGCAATGCATAACACACATACAATGCTGTAGCTAAGCAACCATGCATGAGCCTTTTCAAGGGAAGATTTTCAGAGCTGTTAAAAATGAGAAAAGAAATTATTTACTACAGCCATAAAGTTTAAAAACAGCCGGAGAGGGGTGATAAATACAGATGATTTACTACCATGCTGATTTTTGTTCTGGTTTAATTCTTTAATGCAATTGTTTACTATTTCTAGAAAGACATAAGTATTATATAATCCCTTCTCCTAATAACTGCCAGTTTCATTAGTCAATCCCATCTACCTTAGGATCAAAGGAACACGGGTTTGAGACACTGTGATCAGGATTTAACAGCACAAGGTACAGTAATCAATGGCAATAAATATGAAATGACAAGAAAATGCAGATTTTAAAGGTCAAAGAAAAAGACAGTGTTCATGTGAACAATTAAGCATAGATAGCTTTTCCAATAAGTGAATACCAACTCCTAATCAAAACAGAAATATTAAATTTGATTGTTGAAAAGCACAAGTTGACAAGTAGCCAGTATGAGCACAGATTTGAAGGGTGAAGCATTCTTTCAAAGAGGAGCCAGCTGACACTTCTAAGGGAGCATAACATCCTCTGACATTTCAGTCTAAATCCATGCTTAATTCTCAGAATTCAGATATGGATCTGGACTAGCTTATAAGAAATTTGTGCAAGTAATTGCTGATCATCAGAACAGAAAAACATCTATAATATTAATGCCTTTGATTCCTCTGAAAAGTGCAGCTGATGACACTTTAATCCTCTTTGGTAGTGGAGTTTTGATGGCTTCTATCACATTCTGTCTTACAGCCAGCCATTTGGAAGCAGATTTTATACAGGAATAACCAAATCCAATTGTGCTGCTCCTGTAATTTTATTAACCTCACTTCTTGGTATAAATTGTTCTCAGGTCCACACCAGTGAGACAGGAAACTGATTTTTAAGAGAAGTACCACCTCAGTCACCTAGGCAGAAGCTTCAAAAAGCACTTCAGTTGATAAAAATTACTTCCAGTCAGGTACATAGAATAGCTAAACAAAATTTTACAGATGTGTAAAAAATTGTGTTTATCAACTCAAAACTAAGTTTTCTTCAGTCAATTAATACAGCACATAAAGAAGAGAAGCAGCAGCATCAAACCAGTACCATTTCTATTAAGGTAGCAGCTCAGGTACTGTGGTATCTGCTTATGCTAAATCACTACAGCCTCTGTATCACATTAGAAATGAGCCTGGTCACAAACATTTTTTGCTTTCATAAGTAGTAAAAATTGCAGTAAGTACTTAATTTCCTATTTATATGTAAAGTAATGGTTTCTATACAATTCTGATGCCTTCAGTGACTGTACATCAGTACCGTGGACTGGGTGAAAAGAGTAACAATTCACTGTGTTTAGTAACATCTCATCAGAAACACTGGAGCAATCAATTTTAAAAAACTGTAACCTGGACTTCAAGTTTACAAAGCTGAATATCCTTGGAACCATTAAGAAATCACATGTTAAAGTTTATAGCAACAGGACTATAAAAAAACCCCTGCTACAACCATATTTGAAAGTAATGAGCAGTGTAAAATCTTAGCTCCAATCAAAGGAAGAGAGTTTTGAGAAATGATCACATGTGGTGATAATCTGTGTACCCAGCTTTACATTTGAGCTTACACCCATTTTCAAAAATCTTTCCAAGATTATGCATATAAAAATGTGGAAAACGTCTCAGTTTGACTAGACACATGCATACATTCATACTGTATTTATAAAAATATCACTTAAACACAACAGTATGCAGAAGGAACATGAAAAATAGATTTGATCAGAGTAACCAGGTATCTCCAGAGAGCACAATTTTAATGGGCAACAAACAGCTTAGGAACAATCACAGCTATTTGCTTTAAAACAACAATAGAGAAGTTAACCATATTCAGAAATTTTATTCCATGGCAGTTTCATCTCCAACTGCAGGTATAACTTGTATTACTGCCTAACATCACAGAAAGTGGAACTCCTGTCTGCTCAAGTGTCATAATACTTTAAACAGGATGAAAAGGGAGCAAACCTCCAGAATTATTTTGTGTGTAATGACATGGAACAAAACAGATCTTCACACTGCCCCTTTTAAGAAACAATGCTGGTCAAAAGCAGCATCTGAGAATTCAATTTAAATATTCAGTCTAGAGCCCAGTAGTTTGGCAAATACTGAATCTCATTTTTTCCAATTACAAAATAAAAACAAATTAAACAGTCACATCATTAAAATGGAATGTGTTAATGTACCCTGCAATATCTTTGTCCTGATTCACATCCCTGTAACTCAGTAACAGCCTCTAAAAACCTTTGCAAACTTTGCGGTAACACGATGCATTAGTTGAGACCTACACCACACAAAATTTTAGATTTTCCTTTAAGTTAGCTCAAACAAAATCAAATTACACTTCCTCTTTTGTTTCAGAACACATTATGTTGCAGGCAAAGACAAGGCAAGCTGACTAGGGTGTTTTTTTCCCCCACAGGCAACTGAGGATTCCCCAATGTAATTTCTTGTAATTTTTTCAGGAGCAAAGAAGAATAGCAAGGAGTGACTTGTAACCTAAAAACAGCATTTGGAAAAGTTATCACTTCTGGAATTACTTGGCAACCATGAGATGCAATGCCTGCATACAGTAAGAATATATAAGGAGCTCAAACAGCCCCTCATATGCTGTACATGCATCACTTGCCCTCTCCTAGAAGACCTGGAAGGGCTTTTGCACCTGGGAAAGGCTCATCACTAAGTTGTGACAGCATAAAGAGAAATAAATGTTTCAAAATGCAAGGGTATACACAAAGTGAATGTGAATTTCTGCCAGGAGACTGACTCTAGTAAGTGAAAACTGTTATGAAAAGTTCACTGAAGTTTTTATCCTTGGGTTTAAGCCTATGAGAATAAGATCCATCAATGATCTCAACAGGATGTTCATGGTCCACACTGAAACCAAGACAGTAAAAAAATACCTACCATACATCACTAGTTGCATCTCCTGACTAAACTTGGCTTTCCTTGGTCTCCCATCCAAGTACTAAGAGAGCCACAGAACTACCAAGAGGTGACCACTTGCTGCACTCTTTATACTCTACTAACCAAGAGCATTATTAATCTCAGTTATAAAGTTCATTATGAAAAGAGTCTCAAACACTCTTTTTTAGATTGTTTTCCATTATAAAAGGAAGAAACTGTGATATACTAGGAATTTCCATTAGGGATAATAATACCTATCTCATAAGCCATATGCTGCCAACATTAAAATTCACCAGAATCACAGTCCATCCCACAAGATCTCCTCTCTCAGAACTTCCCAGGAGCAAGATGCAGGCTGGCTAAGTCTTCTGAAGGTGACAATTTTGCTTGATCTCAATCCCCCCTGGGCCTCATAACTATGTTATATAATTAAAAACAGTGAGTATCCTCAGGAGCAATGATGGCTAAAATCAAGTTGTTATCATTAAACAGTTCACTACTCAACAGCCAAGTCTCCTCCAAAGAATATATATGTAAGCATGTCAAAGAGTAACTCATGAACTGGTCTACTGGCAGAAAATCAGCTCCCCTCTGATGTGTGTGCTGTCCAGACCCTGGTGGGAAGCAGGCAGGAAGTGCATGCATGCACTGTATAACGTGTGTGCAGCAAGACCTGTGCTTCCCAGAACTGTCATACTTACTGCACAGGGACAGTCACTCCAGTCATCTGACAGAAGGGGTACTCGACAAAACGCTTTCATTTTTGAAAGACACTTTAAGAAAAATCAGTAGTTTTACCCGGAGTAAACAGAGAACAGAGAAAATTTCCTATTTTTAGTCAAATCCTGAAGTAATAATGTGGCGTCTCATCTTGCTAGCTGTGGAATGAACCTTTAAATACAATTAAGCAAAATGGCATTTGTTAATACTATTTACGGAAAGGATCTTGATAGAGATCTGTGGAAATAAAATATACCTCTATTTTTAACAGACAACCGAAAACAAATTAAAACAGGGCTGCAAACTGTGATGTGCATGCTTCCAACTTTCCTTTACCTCTTCCAGTTCTTCTATACCAGCTTGGGAAAAGTGGTATTTATTTTCTTCCTTCCAAGAAAAAAATTCCTTCAGTAAAACAATGGGTTATTATGTCAGGTGAATATATACAACTGGATGAAAAGAAACTGATAAAGAACTCGAAAAGGAAATGAGCAGCCCAGATACAGAACATCTATATCCTCAGCTGGGAACCTCATTACTGTATTAATGAGGAAGGATTTCTCAGCTCTCTATCTAGTGACAATCTGGTTTGCAAATGATGGAAGAAAGCACAGGAGAGAAGCTGCTATCAGTTTCAGTCTGACAAGGGTAGGCAGCAGCTCCAGTTGAATCCCTAAAGGCATTCAGAACAGTAAAAATGACAGTGAAGGCAAAGATGGCAGTGAAGGCAAAGTTCACAAGAGTGTCTTATTTTCAATTTTATTCTTCAAGCACTGAGTGCACTGTTGGTAAAAATGAACCTACTTTTTCTGAAGAAATAACTTTATTCTGAAGCAGCCATTTCATGGCTGCTACTCTCTTTGTATGATCCCTGAAGGGAAATTCCTATTTCCTAAAAGAGGTTTCACTTGGCAGCTATAGAACAGAGGTAAGACAAAGGGCAGCTGGGTTACAGTCTCACCCAAAGGGACAAGACCTGCTATGGAAAGGGTGTGCTTTAAGGACAGGAAGGTCTTGTTGTTTTCTCAAGTTCAACTCAATTATTTCAATCAGATTTCTTAACACAATGTAGTGTAGCTCTTGCCAATTCAACATGAGAAATTAATTAGCAGCAGAGGCACAAACACACACTCAAGTGTAGATACAGATAATGCACTTTACAGCAAACGTGCTGATAGTCAGTGCAAAACATCACTATGGTTTTCCTTGTTTCGAATCTTTAATTTTAAGCCTTAAACCTTTTTAGTTCAAGGATCTGAAGGGTGGGTGGGACAGAAGGCAAAACCAAGAAAGCAAGTGCACACCCAAAGATAATTTTCTGTTTTGGACTGGACTGTTATGAAAAAAGCTAGTGATCTAACTCACTCTAAATGAAAAACAGTCATTCATCACGACATTTCATATTTGCCCACCAAGTGATACGGTGATTTTAAGTAACTTTTAAGATCCACTTGCAAAGACAAAAAAAAACCTTACCTCAGTTGTTTTGCATAGTTTTGCTCAATTTCTATCCTTTCTTTCTAAGATCCACATGCAAAGAAAAAAAAAAAAAAAACTTACCTCAGTTGTTTTGCATAGTTTTGCTCAATTTCTATCCTTTCCTTTACAAATTTTGCGTATTTCTCCAAGAAGTCAATGCCCCACTGTGTATGCTTGTCCAAGTTATCAAACTGATCCTTTAAAAACAAAAGGAAACAAAATTACTCAGAATTAGTTAAGAATCACAGCAGCACCAGATTTACACATCATTTATTTGTAAGCTGTGCTCTGAGGGAATGCTTGCCACTGGGGTAGAAGTCATTCAAGTTATAAATCAGTCAAATGTATATATATATGTATCAGCCATATACACCAGAACAGCAGGTTTCATGTGCAGCAACAGATCTACCTCTTTTTATAGCTCTAAATACTTGCATGTTAACCTATAAGCAGCCTTTCATCACTTTCATAATGCAAATCTTTCTTTCTTCTCAAAACCCTTTATTTCAAAAGTGCATCTTTTCCACCAAGACAACAGACCCAACCAAAGATCACTATTAGATAAAAAAGAGACAGCTCACAGAAGAGATGACTGGCAACTTTGAAACACAGCTAAGTTACAATTTTATTGTATACAAAAAAAATCACTCTTAGGATTACCCACTGAAAGAAAAATAACATAAATTTTAGCAGCATGACTAAACTTGGGGGTAGTCTGCATATCAAAAACATTTATTAAATCAAAACTGTATATACAGCTCATGATCACCTCTAACAGGAGATTCCAAAGAAAGCAAACAACTGTTCTTAGTAATTAAGAAAGTTATAACAAACTAAAGGCACAAAACAAAAAGGAGAAACAGTAAAAAATAAAAGTTGGGGAATTTTTAATACATTAAACCATCTTCAAAACTGATCTTTCACTGCACTCCGTACTGATTAATAGGTGATACACTAATTAGGGCAAGTTGAAAAGTCAAAAAACAAGTGGAAATATGGGGGTTTAGAATTAGGCAGGAGAAAACAAAGGTACAAAATACGGCCTAGCAAATAGTTTTAGTCTAACACATACTTGCATGTTATGCTACAATATTCCACTACAGTGAAAAGATCAAGGATCTTCAGCTTACAATAGCATTTAAAATTAGCTGTTATTTAGAAATCCAAAAAAGGCAAGTAACTGAAACTTCAAAGTTTGTGTCCAGTAAACTTAAAAAATAAAAAGCAAAAAAAGCAAAAAGCTAAGGAAGCAATTAAGTTCAAAGTTTAATTAACTTGCACAAAAAAAGTTCTGAAGGCTGTTTATCAGAGGCTTTCTCTTGCAGACTCTCTTGCCTGAACTAATAAATGATGCAGACTTCTAGCAATAGCCACTTAAGTTCAATTTCACCATGTACTAGGATGATCTCAAAAAATGCCTAAAATGCTGCAAGACTCAAGGAACATGTATTCACTTAAAGAGATACGAGGTGAACACAGCTACGTAACCAACGAAAATAAAAATAACGTAACAAGATTAAGGTTGCTCTCCAATGCTGCCTTGCAGGTCCCACAATCCTACACCACAGACTAACAACCACAGCCATTAGTGCCATGAACACTTCAGTCCAATGGCATGCGAGTACTGCCACCAACAGCATCCCTCCAGTTCTACCACTCTCTCCACCACAACCACTTTCCCTGATGTTTCACCACAGAACCAGCCAAGAGATGGGAGAGGGACTGAAGACAAGATTTCAATGTATTTGGGAAACCACGGCCTGTATCTCCCATTATTCTGATATGTGCACTTTGCACCAATGGACATTTCCACTCTAAATAGTTTATGTCAAATAAAGTGATATTTCTGCTACTGCTTTTAGAGAAGCTGCACAGGCAGACAAAAACCGGGCTGAGGCGTCAAACCACATTTGTAAATATGTGTAAAAATACGTCAATCTCAAGAAGCCTTTCTTTTTTACACTTCACTCATTTGTGTAATTACTCTTACAAAATTAACCCAGCATCCAAAAGTAGTTTGTAAAAGATGCTTCTGGCATGAAGTCAATACCTAATACCATTAAAAAGAACTGACTTCCTTCAGCACAGAGCAGAACAAAGCCTTTGCTGTCCTACTTAAGCTCTTTAGACCACAAAGCTCTCATTTGCTGCTAAGGTTTCATTAGCATTAGGGAACACCACATTACTTATGTTTCCAAACATGCAACCAGAGACAGTGGCTTTCCAAATACTTTGCTGAAACAAAAAAGGACTCCACTGCTCAAACTTCCCTCAAGATCTGCTGTTAATATGAAAATTACATTTAATGAGCTATCATGCTTTACTACAAGGATTTCATCACTAATCATATAACAAAACTCTTTTTCCCCCCTCAATTCCTCTTCTTCATGTGATTCTAGAAAGAGTATGTTCTGTGCAAAGACAGCTTTGTTGGATTATCCCAGTTTCACAATTTTTCGAATTCTCTATAAACAATAAACCAATGAAAGAAAGTCTGTGGCCATAAGAATCACCCTACACTGTTTTGTAAAGCCCCTGAGATAAATGAGCAAAACATAAAGGCAACATCAGCGAATATGCAAAAAGGTCTGGCCTTTTCAGAAAGGCTTCCAGAGGGGAGTCACAAATTTACTTATTTACTTTCATTCTCTCTCCAGAAGCTCACAGTGAGCTCTGGACCTCAATTAAGCAAAAAGCTTCCTTTTTGTACCAGAACACAAACAGTGAATCTTCCAGACTGCTACAAAGGAAATCAAACTAATGCACTGAGATACAAGTGATCTCTTCAATGGAAAAAAAATTGTCAAAAATCAGGCAATGCTGTACGGACAAGAAAATAGTCCGAACAGTTCCAATAAAATTTAGGTCTGTAATTTCAAAACAAATATATCAGCGTAGTAATTTGGCTAGCTCCTTTATAAGGAATATGAAAACTACATTAACTAGAGATCAGCAAAATGCTTTTTTAAAAAAGAAATCACATCGCACAATATCTGGCTATCTATGCCTTGATAATGAAGTAAGTTCTCAACAATATTTCCAAGCAAATATATACTGCTGTTTGTCTAGTAACTGCCCACATCCCTTGCCAGCTGAGCATAAAATTTTTGTAAAAATCTTTATTAAAACTGCAGCTGACTATTATTAAAGTGATTAAGGTCAGCTAATGGATGACTGCCCTATGTAGAAACTGCCCACTCAAAAGCGGAATGTAGTCCAAAGCCTCTCTGTTACAAACAAACCAACCTGACACTCGACAAGAAATTTGTAGTAGGTCAAAACACATTATTCCAAAACAAATGTTACCTACCTAAATGCTACTTCCAGATTATTTACTGGAACCACACATCAATGTTATAAACACTCCAGGTTTGCAGCTCTAAACTTATCATGTATTTGCAGATACCAGCAAGCTTTACAAAAATAGCAGCTGAAGCACCAAAGCCAAGAGCCAACCTGACTCAAACCTGCACCCAAGACAAAACAGACTCTCCTCGGGTAAGCTCGAGATTTGCTCTCCTCCTCTTACTGACACTTGTTTTTTCTCCAAACAAGCCTTAAGAACTAATAAAAAGAAAAACATGGGAGATCTCTTCAGAGGGATGAGCATGCTACAGTGTAAATACTGGACGTTTAGTCTTCCCAAAGCTACCAGGCCAGACACTGGACTAGAGTGGCAGTTTCAAATAAAAGGCATTCAACAAGATTGAGATTTTACAGGGTTAATGTTCCCAGCTTTCATGAACTTCAGAAAGCAATTCTAGTTGCATTTAAAGCTAGGATTGTGGCATCATTCTGTAAAAAAAATCCTTCTGTTTCACTAATTTATTCCTTTACAGTATGTAAACTAGCTAACTGCATTAACATTGAATTGCTTTCAAATTAGTCTCCCATTCCACTGACCTCCAGACAATACAGCTGAAAGTTTTAAGAATCACATTAAACATTGAAGTACATTGACTTACAATTTCAGAAACCTATCTCAATTAATTACGTCTGCAATATCTACTTAATAAAACATTTTATTTGAAATGAGGATACTTTGCATAAATTATTCTACCATCATTTTATTCTCTATTGACTCAACTGTTCATCATTACTTCCATACTTTTATCTGACCACAATTTTAGTCTGCAGTTACCCAAGTGATCTTATTTGCACTTCTGAAACACTGGCTCAAGATGAGATTTTTTTTCCCAATTCTTTGTTCTCCAGGCTGCACAGCCAGTCTAAACTTCCAAGTCAGTGAGTGGGAGATGAAAAGCTCAATCCTGTCTTTTGCTTGCTAAATTTTTAACCCTTATGCAGGTTGGTATAAGGAAATATGTACTATGAAAGTGTTCAGAGCATGGAAAAGCAGGGACCAAAAAAAAATCAAAACACTTGGCATCAAAAAAGCCCCAGTGCATTTGTAGATACAAATATTTTGTTTTATTATCACCTTATGAAAAGCCATGACTTACTTAACCACAAAGCTACAAGTCCACAGAAAGCCAAGTGAGAAAATGTGGGTGATTAGGTAACCTAATACCCATCTTTGCAGTTCTTGTTCTCAATTTATGTCCATGAGGCTTTATCAAATGAACCTGAATTATGGATAAATTTAAATAATAGTTAAATTCTGCAGAATGTCTTTTTTTGCCTGCATGAGCAGCATTGCAGAAGAAAAACAGACTGCTTCATAACACCCAACTCTATTCAAGTTAAATATTTTAAGTTACAAAACATTATTAAGTGACTATTTAACATACTGAGATTTTATAAAACTCTTATGAAATAGCTGAATTATGAAACATTATGCAGCTTAAATTTTTTTTTTTAATTTTTAGACAATGATCAAGGCCTTCAAATTATTCACTGTTTTACTTGGAGGTATCCTCACGTAAATTTCATTTCAAAAAATGAAACAAAACAAAATAAATATCTTGCTATGTTTGTACAAAGAATTACCTGATACACTACATTGAAAGTTATGGGAACCATAATCATCTATGAGTATATTAATGAGACTTACCAGCACAATATACTGTACCTTTCCCTATTTGTCTTCAGGACAAGTTAATTAGAAAATTGTATTTTAATTAGAGCATGTCACACTAATCTACTTCTGACAATACATTTCAGTTTCTCTTCATGGATATGTCTTCACTGTCTGTTTTGGGTTTCTACTTTTGTCTCTATCTTTATGCATTCCTGC